TTGAGTTTTGAGAATATGTTTAGTAGCTAAATCTTTTAGGGATTCTAGGATTTGCGAGTACTCGGATTATTTTATGAAGTGATTTTGTTTATTCATTCCGGTTTATCATTCGTTTATCAATTTCTTGTGCTTTTATTAATTGTGTGAATATAGGGCCCGTATTTATGCATATTTGTGATTGACTTGAGACCGAGAGGAGATAGTTGATTGCTAGAATTGGAAAATTCATAACGTAAGAGACTAAACAGACCGAGAGGTTGATAGAATCTTGCGAGGGAACTAGAATCTTAGGAGCTTATGGGAGTTGATTGTTCATCTTGAGACCGAGAGGAGATAGATAACAATTAATATCTACGATTTAACTTGTTCGAGAGAAAGGTGTAAATTACTTTAGTGATTATCCCTACGAATGGTAGAATTATATAAGGTTTGAATGAATAGGAAATCTTTGTTAGAATAATCCCGAGGAAAGCATAGCCTAGAATCTATTTTCTCATTCTTGATTTATCTTAGAACAAGCCTTCATTAGTGTTAGAATTTATTTTGCAATCATTCATTAGTTTAGAATAAAATCACCATTCAAATTTGCATTAGACTGAATATTATTTAACCGTTTACATTTTGATACTTAGTTATTTTGACAATAATCTCTGTGGAATACGACCTTGCTCGCCACTCACTACAGCTATACCGTACACTTGCGGATAGTGAAAATATTTTGCGAACAACCCACAAATAATGAAACTCAATTATTTGTTACAATCCCCTACATGAGTTTCATTAAATATATATATACTAGTGTGCTCAATCTTCACAATACTCTATTGTATCAGAAAAGGTAGCTTTTGGCTTTGAACCTTTCTTAGTAAACATCATCGGATGCACTGGCGGACTAGTGGACATAATGCATTGAACTATTCCTCCATAGTGTACACCGAAACAATGACATTCACACAATAAAGTCTTAACTTCATTCTGTTCTATCGTTGTGTCCGTTTTGGCCATGGACAACACAATGGATTCATAAGTGTTTACATTTGAAGCGGCCCACACTTCACACTTATATAGGTGACCTCCCTATCAAGAGTATCATGTATTACTCCACCTTTACAAGGTTAGGGATTCATTAAAAGTCCACATGACTTACCCTCACCACAATCAACATGTCATCTTGCACTTGGAGTGCTCTAGGGAATAGCTTAGGACATTTATATGTTCCAAGTGCTCAACTGAATTTTCATAGCTTAGTTTTCCCTTTGAACCAAGTTCGTGGGATCTCCACTTAGCATGGTAGGGTTACCACTATGATCATTCTTTACATTGTGGATTTTTAAGCCCATTCCCTCTAGTAAAACTATCAATTGATCTCTATTCAATCCTTTCGTCAAAGGATCAGCCAAATTTTCCTTAGACTTCACATAGTCAATGGAAATAACACCATTGGTGATCAATTGTCGTACGGTATTATGTCTACGACGAATATGTCTAGACTTACCGTTATACAAGTTGCTTTGTGCCCTTCCTATAGCAGCTTGGCTATCACAGTGAATCATCACAGGCGGCAAAGTCTTATCCCAACATGGAATATCAGACAAAAAATTTCTAAGCCACTCGGCTTCTTCACCAGCTTTATCTAAAGCAATGAATTCCGATTCCATAGTTGAACGAGCTATACACGTTTGTTTTGTGGATTTCCACGAAACTGCACCTCCTCCAATACAGAAAACATATCCGCTAGTGGAGCGAGAATCTCTCGAATCTGATATCCAGCTTGCATCACAGTACCCTTCAAGTACGGCTGGATATCTCGAGTATTTTAGCCCGTATACAAGGGTGTATCTCAAGTACTTAAGTACCCTTCTCAAAGCATTCCAGTGTTCATGACTGGGATTGCTCGTAAATCTGCTCAACTTATTCACCGGATAGGCTAAGTCTGGTCGTGTACAATTCGTCAAGTACATCAGACTCCCTATTATCCGTGAATATTCTAACTGAGCCACTGGTTGACCTTTATTGACTACCAGATTTATACTAAGATCAAGGGGCGTCTTACACCTAGACTGTGCACCGTCATAGGTATCAAATTTCTTGAGCACTTTCTCTATATAATGAGATTGTGACAAGACAATTCCATCTTGAGTTCTGATAATCCTTATTCCAAGAATAACATCAGCCAAACCCATATCTTTCATGTCGAAATTTCTTTTCAACATTCTTTTCGTATCCAAGATCACTTCATGGCTACTCCCCATGATCAACATATCGTCTACATATAGACATACAATCACAAATGCATTTGATGTACTCTTGACATAAACACATTTGTCACATTCGTTGATTTTGAAACCATTTGACAACATCACGTCATCAAATTTCAAATGCCATTGTTTCGGAGCTTGTTTCAGTCCGTACAAGGATTTGATCAATCTACACACCTTTCTCTCTTGTCCAGGTGCAACAAACCCTTCAGGTTGTTCCATGTATATTTCTTCTTCCAATTCACCATTTAAAAATGCCGTCTTGACATCCATTTGGTGAATCTCAAGATTGTGCAAAGCAGCAATCGAGAGAAGCACTCTTATCGACGCTAAACGCGTAACTGGTGAATAGGTATCAAAGAAATCATACCCTTCTTTTTGTTTAAAGCCTTTGACCACCAAACGTGCTTTAAACTTATCAATCGATCCATCAGCTTTATATTTCTTCTTTAGGATCCACTTGCATCCTAAAGGTTTACAACCATCAGGGAGATCAACCAACTCCCAAGTATGGTTCTGCATAATGGACTCGATTTCGCTATTTACAGCTTCTTCCCAGAGTGGTCCATCTGGGCTGGACAGAGCTTCCTTAAGGGAACTCGGTTCATCGTCCAACATGTACGTAATAAAATCAGGTCCAAACGTTTTCGCCGTTTTTAACCTTTTACTACGTCTCGGTTCTTCATCAGTACCCTCTGGTACAGAACCACTAGCAGTTTCATACGTTCGTTTATTAGAACTAGATTCTGCTCTTTCCTTTAGAGGAAAAATATTCTCAAAGAATATAGCATTCCTCGACTCAATCGTGGTACCAACAGATACCTCTGGATTTTCTGATTTATGAACCAGAAATCTATATGCTGTACTATTGTACGCATATCCAATAAATACACAATCGACCGTCTTTGGCCCGATTCTCATTTGTTTGGGTTCCGGTACTGAAACCTTAGCCAAACACCCCCACACTTTTAGGTATTTATAAGACGGCTTACGATTTTTCCACATTTCGTAAGGAGTCTCATCTTTCCCTTTAGGTGGTATTTTATTCAGGATATGATTTGCTGTTAAAACAGCTTCCCCCCACATGTTTTGTGGTAATCCTGAATTTATCAACATGGCATTCATCATTTCTTTTAACGTACGGTTCTTGCGTTCAGCAACACCGTTCGACTGTGGAGAATAAGGGGCAGTCGTTTGATGAATTATGCCATATTCGGAACATATTTGTTCAAAAGGAGCTACATACTCCCCACCCCTATCACTTCGGATTATTTTAATCCTTTTGCCGAGTTGATTTTCAACTTCGGTCTTATAGATTTTAAATGCTTCCACAGCCTCGTCTTTGCTTCTTAATAAATATAAGTAGCAAAACCTTGTGCAATCATCGATAAAAGTAATAAAATACTTTTTACCTGTTCTTGTTTGCACACTTTTCATATCACATACATCAGTATGGATTAAGCCTAATGGTTCAGTACACCTTTCCACCGAGTGAAAAGGCAACTTAGCCATTTTTGCTTCAATACAAATCTCACATTTCTTATGTGATTCAATTTTAGAATTAGGAATTAATTCTAAATTCATCAACCGTTTAATTGCATTTCGATTTACATGTCCCAATCTAATATGCCATAAATCAGAGCACTCAACGGTATAAACAGAAATAGGCTTTTCATTATCATTTAAAACGGTTACACGGCTCACGGCCATTACATTCATTTTAAACATACCCTTGTCGAGATAGCCACGACCAAGGAAAGTTCCAAACTTACTAAGAACAAATTTCTTAGCATCAAATACTAGCCTAAATCCATGCTCAACAAGAAGAGATCCGGAGACCAAATTCTTGCGGATGTCTGGGACATGCAGAACATCCTTAAGCTTCAACTCCTTTCCAGAAGTCAGCTTCAGCACCACAGTGCCCACTCCAGCCACATCAGCCGTGGCGGAGTTTGCCATGTAAAGTTTCCGACTCTTAGCAGGAGTGTATTCAGAGAACACCTCCTTATCGGAACACACATGACGAGTGGCACCAGTATCGATGTACCACTCCCTTGGGTTATCCACCATATTGGCTTCAAACACCACAGCTGACATATTAAAGTCGGTCAGTTCACCCGGCACAGGGCCGTGTTCAGCCACAAGAGCACTCGGTTTAGCTTTCTTTAGCCCAGCCTTCTTTGGCCTCTTGCAGTCTTTAGCCATATGGTTCGGCTTTCCACAATTATAACAAGTTTCGGTAAACTTCCAAACCTTGGCAGGCTGCTTCCCTTTGTCTAGGGACTTCCTCTTGCTCGAGTTGCCTTGCTCTATCAAGTTAGCACGAGCCTCCATCATCGGAACTTTTCCCGATGAATTACGATTGTCCTCCTCAATACGAAGACGAACAATCAAGTCTTCAAGACTCATTTCCTTCCTCTTATGTTTGAGGTAGTTCTTGAAGTCTTTCCAACCCGTCGGCAGTTTTTCAATCACAGCCGCAACTTGGAATGACTCGCTCAGAGACATTCCCTCAGCATGGATATCGTGCAAAATAAGTTGAAATTCTTGCACTTGGGACATTACTGTCTTAGAGTCGACCATCTTGAAGTCAAGAAACTTGCCGACGACGAATTTCTTCGCCCCGGCATCCTCAGTCTTGTACTTCTTCTCCAAAGCAGCCCAAAGCTCTTTGGCAGAACCAACCGAGCTGTACACATTGTACAACTCATTACTAAGTCCGTTCAGGACATAGTTACGGCAAAGGTAATCACCTTGCCCCCAAGCTTCGTACGCAGTGCGTAGTTCAACATTGGTCTCATTTTCAGCAATAACCGGGGGGTCGTCCTTCAGGTATTTCACCAAACCCAAAGTGGTCTGGTAAAAATGAATCTTTTGTTGCCACCTTTTAAAATCAAGCCCATTGAATTTTTCGGGCTTATCAGCAGTAGGGACATGAACAGCAGGTACATGATTGATCGGATGTTGAGTGTTGGAACCATTTCCGGTGGAAGCCATCAGTCCAGTAGGTTGAGATATTCTTCTTGCGATTGTTCCCAACTGGGTATAAAAATACACGGGAATCCTACGAACTGATATGTATTTTTTTTCAGTTCTTACAATTAATCTAAAAATAGAAAATTATAATCGAACTGAAAAATAAATTACAACTGAAAAATAAATTAAAACTTAAAAATCAAAACGGAAAGATTTTAGCCGAGGCGAGTAAAACTCTTTCCGCAAGAAGAATACGCCCCGTGTGGCAGCTAACGGTTTAGGCGTAACTTCCCCAAAGATACAACGACAAACGTCTCTAAATCTGTAGCACACCAGATTTACGAGCTCCGGCGAACTGGAACGGAGTCGAGAATTGAGCACTTAAAAAATATGAATAAAAATATCACTCTTTTGTTATTTAGATAACAAATAAATATTTCTATATTTTTTCCTCTGATATTTTTATCCCTCCAAAATTATTTTTATACCTCTATTTTTTTATTTTTTTTTATTTTTTCCTCTTTCTCTCTTTCCTTTTCTCTTTCTTTTCTTCTGTGTTTTTCTCGGTGGTCTTCTTCTCAGCAAAATGAACATATTTATAGGGAAAAGATTAGATAAAGCCTGGAGAGAGCAGAGCGGATAAAACCTGGCCAATCAATTATTAATGGCCAATCAATTATTAATGCCAGTTCATGCCAGATGATGCCATATGAAACTTCACAAGATGAAAATTCCCGTGTATGAGCTGCAAATGTGGAACCCACAAATAATGAAACTCAATTATTTGTTACAATATTTAAATGATAAAACTTTTTACTAGCAAATTTTCAAGGAAAAAAATCGACAATTTCAACTCTAGATTTTTCACGAATTAAACTTATCGACAAATATTATTTCCACAAAAATTGCATACTATAAGAAAATTTTCTATAATAATAAATCGTTAGAGAATTATTATTGAAATCATCAACTTCTATCTTAATAATACAATTTAAATACCGTGGATAAATTGAACGTTAAAATTAGGAGGAGGAAACAATGCAATGTATGGTACTTGAAACAGAAACAAACAACAAAAGGAAATTAGCCAACATTAGTGAAGAAAATAAACATATTAAGAGCACTAACTACATGCCATATGAGAGAAGAAGAAGGCCTAATGATAATCCAATCCAACGGCTGTGGCTGTGGGCTTCTTCACTTTAGCCCAACAGCAACGGTCGATAACAATCAAACCAAATACCAAAACCCTCAAAAAGGGTTTAGATTTCGAAACTAGCCGTTACAGCATCTCGCGAAAATCAAAAGAAATCCCAGTCTCCATCACAATCAATTCTCAGTCAATTACAAATTTTCCAGTTTTCTTCCATCTCCATTCTTACTGTTCTTGCTGCTGCTGGTAAAGAAACTCTCTCTCTCTCTCTCTCTCTCTCTCATGGTGGCTCGTACAAACCGATCTCCTTCGCCACTTCCATCGAGGCCCACTAACCAAAACCCAAGAAACTCTGAAATGTACTCAGCAACAAGAAAAAGTTTTAATGGGAACAATATCTTGAAACCTTATGCTCTCACAAATCCCAGACGATTTGATCCAGTGACCCCTGCGAGTAGCCCATCAGGTTAGTCTTTCCAGATGAGCCTTTTCATTTCTTATTTCATTTTTTCCGAATGAATTATCATGTGTGTGTGTGTGTGTGTTTCTTTTTATTGTTTCTTGATTTTTCTGGTAATGACGTTTAACTTACCCGTTTTCTTTTGAAATTTTTGTGAGCGGATTTTGATATGTATGTGAGTGACCATAATCTTTTTGCTTTTTCATTTTTGTGTTCTTGCTGCATTTGTATGGTGATCAAGCTTCGCCGAAAAAGACTGTATTTTAATTATGTTTGTGTGATGAAANTGTGAATTTCTTGGAATTTCTTATGTGAATTCCGACTTTTATTCATAATTGTGTTGTAAAGTTGCAGATTTTTCCAGAAGACGTTCAGTGAGTAGAGACTGTGAAGAAAAGGAGAACAATGAAAAGGACCAAAACCAGAGGACTCCAAAACTCCATCCCTCCTCAGCAAAGGGCTCCAAGAATTTCATGGCCCCAACAATTTCTGCTGCTTCAAAATTCACTCCATCGCCCAGAAAAAAACCCTTAGTTGAGAGAAACGACCCCTTAAGGACCTCAATCTCATTATCCGATGGGAAAGCAATGTTCTTCTCTAATGCTTCTGAAGATTTAGAGCCCAAACCTGACATGAATTCTGCTAATTCAGGAAAAAAGGAGCCTTTTCAAGAAGCCCTTCAAGCTCCCAAGCCATTTAAAAAAGTGACCTTTCCAGATGTTCCTCTAGAATCACTTTCAGATTCAGTGATAACTGACTTTGACTGCTCAAAAATGGAGTCTTTTTCGAAGGAAAATAACATTTCTTGCTCGCCCATCTCAACTCCTATAGCCCCGCTCGATGCTGATCCATCCATGCCTTCTTATGATCCGAAGACCAATTTTTTAGCCCCAAGGCCTCAGTTTCTTTACTACAGACCAAATCCCAGAGTTGAAATTTTCTTGAACAATGAAAAGGAAATGGGTGATTCTAGAAATTCTGAGAAGGATAACTTCATGTCAGATAACTTGTCTGAAAAATCTGTACCAGATTCTGAGGGAACAGAAGCTTATGAGAGGGATATGGTGATTGGATTAGAGTTCTCTGAAGTTAACGATTTCGTTCATGATTCTAGAGATTCTGAGAAGGAGAAATTGGAGGTAACTATTGCCTCATCAGAATTGGTAGATTTGAAGTTGCCGAAAGTTGTCAATGGTGATATTCGTGCTCCTGAAGACACTGAGAAGGAAAATATGGAAGCAATTGCTTCAGAGGATATGTTTGAAGGAGTTGACGTGGAGGATGATGATTTTCTTAATGAGAAATCGAATTTTGTGGAGAAGAGTAACAAAAAGAAACCATGGAAGGTCTCTAGATTAGTGTGCTTCTCTGTGGTTGCTATGATGATGCTGTTAATGGCTGCATGTGTGTCGTTATCTGTCACGCAGCAATCTCCTTCGTTCGGGAAGTTTGGGTTTACTAAAGACTTGGGATTTGAAGCTGCTACTAATGTGAAAGTGATTTTCGATGAGCTTGCAAGGCGTGTGAATCAGCTCTCAGTTTATTCTATAGATTTCATCTCTAAGGTGACTGATGAACTTGGCAAAGAGGAAACTCAACTGGGCCCATTGAAATATATGAACCTTTCTTCTGACCTGCAAATGGATTCTTGGGATGATTTCGCACATTTTTCAAGCAAAAATGAGGTCAGCGAGAATTTCACAGAGAATGATGATGATGAGTTGTACGAGGAGATGGATGCTGAAATTGAGAATTTTGAAGAGGAAATCGAAGCATATAAAGAGAACAATGATTCCGTTGAGAACCTTGAGGAAGAACTCGATACACGGGAGAATGAAATGCCTGGAGTCATAGTCCATTATGTCCCTGCAGATCATTTGGCTTCAATTATTTCACAGGTCCAAGAAAATCAGGCTGAAGCTAAAATCGAAGTTTTTCCTCCCGAAACAATGGAAATAGAAAAATCCAATGTTGACAGCATTAATCATGGTCCTGATGATAATACTGCTTTGTTGGATCAAGACAGCTCGTCGGATGTTAATTCTCTAACAGAAGGTGCCCAAAGTTCGTTCGCTTCAGAAAATGAGTTTCTTACTCATTATTACACGATTGCCGTTTCTACCCTCCTTGCGGCTCTATTGGCATTTGCTGCAGCCTATTTCTCTTATTACAGGAGAAAAACTCCCAGTCTATGTTCTGCCAATCTCATCCAAGCCAACAATAACAGCATGAAGCAACTAGGGAAGGAAGATGATGATGTCATTAGCAAGTCATCGTGCCCTTCAGCAATGAGCAGCTTCCAAAAGAACGTATCGTCTTACAACAATGGCAAGAAAACGAGAAAGAACCATTCAAAAAGGGAGCCTTTGGCCTCTTCTTCTTCAGAGTTTACTACAGGCTCGCCTTCTTATGGTAGCTTCACTACTTTTGAGAAGATTCCAGTCAAGAATGTGAGTAGAGAAGATTCTCGCTTATTAGTATTTTTGTGTATTTTCATTATGTGATGTGCCGTGTTTTTTTTTTGCAGGCAAATGGAGAGGAGGAAATTATAACTCCGGTGAGGCGATCAAACAGGATTAGGAATTATCACTAATTCACTTTCTCTCCATGACAGTTTGCATAATTTGGTTAATTAGGACTCGTTTGATGTTCATGTGTATCGATTATAGTTAGTTTCGTTTGTTCGGTTTGACTTTGACTTTTAGTTAGAATGAAAGTGTTGTGTGTGTGTGTTTCATCATTTTCTTTTCTTTTCCCATTTTATGTAAAAGGACAAGTTTCACTCTAATATTCGAAATATACTTCATTTTCACTTTGGTATTTCAGGTTTCAACTTAATTAATATCTATCCAAATATTTTAAAAATTTATCACTTTTGGTTTAAAACCGTTGAAAACTAATGGCCACCGCATTCCACCGTCCACTGTTCATCAAAATCGTCATTAAAGTTTTCAAATTTTTTTCAACCAAAAAATCCCCCTCGAAGTTAACCGAATTCTATCGGAGATCTCACGATTGGATGTTTATGAAAAATATATATATAGAAAACCTTTTTCTTGAAGAACCCAATGGTATTTTCCAAACGACAGAAATAATTTTCATTTCCATAAAAGACAGCAATTACTCATAACGGTTCGAAGAAAAAGGGCTTTTCTTTTCAGGCCCCGATTTTGAAACATAAAATTACAGGGGCCCCTTTCTGATTCTAATCTGTGTTGCATAGCAATTATGCCAAGAATTACTGATAGTAATTGCAACAAATAACTACCTTAAACCCCNTACAAATATACACACACACACAATTGTATGTACAGAGGTCACAACAAACAAGCAAACCAAAATTTGGATGAAAATGGCATAAAGTTATTTACAAAGTAACTGAACACCCTGAACAAGGGCCAAGCCGGAAAATCATAATTTAGTTAAAGCAGAATTTTTCACACATTCACAGATTGAAAGGATAGAAAGAGCAGAAAATATTGCACACATCAACAACTGGAGATTCCGCGGAGTTACCAGAAAGGACACCACCTGAAAAATGATGGCAAGTTTTCGATCAGAAACAAGCCGCAAAATATTCAAGAACAATTCCTTAATACTTTGCATGCAAGTAACAATTAATTGGGGTGATTGTATGTTGATTGCAAAAGATACCCATATAAAAAGAAAACATCCAACTTTATTTTGCCATATATTCATTCCCCATTTCATAGACAAAAGAAGTATTCCAACTAGTCCTTTTTCACATACAAAGTTAGCCTTCCATTTGAATCATGACTCGGCACTATTTTGGTAACTTTTCGAAGCTGGGTTTAGGGTAATTTTGTAATCATCCCATGTTTAGATTCAATCACCACAATTTGGAAAAGGAACAAACAATATTTTCCGTGATATTAATAGAAAGACATACCCAACATAATTTTGGCACAAATTCTCATGTGATGTTGCTTGGAGTATAAGCTTCTGAACTTGCACCTTCACAGACAATCCATGTTCGGCCTCATGAGCAGCATCTCCAGGGACCAAACTACTTTGTTGATCCAGATAACTCTGCACGGAGCTCGATGAGAATGAAGAGAAATCCCTTCCAGTAAGTTTATTGCTCATCCGTGCCATAACAACAACCGCTCGTTCGTTCAGAACTTCATTGGCATCACCCAGTTGATTCACAGCCTAAATAGACAAAAAGTTTTAAATTCTTGAGTAAACCATTATTGGCATTTGGCAGAAGGAGCATTTATAGCTCTCTATGTGTTTAGCCTGCTTGCAGAAACTCGATATATCTTTGAAAATTACCAAGTATACACTTTCAAAGTGTTGCATATATACTAGTGTAGCTAACTCATGCAATGCATGACTTGTCATATAACAATTGTAATAAAATATTATTGAGTAATTTTTGCATAATAATAAATTAATATTAATTTTATATGTTGAGGAGAATAATGTTCTATGATGTTCAATTACATTATTTGATAAGTTTTTTGTTTTCCCCAAAACGATAGATGTCATTATTTGATAAGTTATTAAATAAAATTATATTTTTTGAACTTTTGAATTTCCGTTTTGAGTAACTTAATGCCTATGTTTTGGCAGACGACCCGTTAATTTGTCAATGTCATGTACTTGATTCTTAGAACAACGGTTTATCCTTCTTTACACATTCATATTAATTTCCACATAATTGTTTCAAATTAATGCGGGATAAATGCACTAAAATTAATGTGCTATCTTGAGGTAAAACAAAATTTTTTCAAAATATATTTAAATATTTTCATTGGAATAACTTTAGGCACATTTGTTATTTTAAAAGTATGATTCTAAATAAATTGTAATATAACTTTATATAAACAAGGAAAAAAAAACATTTTTTCATGAAGTGTGAGTGTGGAATAAAAAATATTATGTTACATCATTAAGTAAATAAATACTATGTTGGATGTCACAAGTGGTTTTAGTAACAAACCATCAATTTGTTAGTGTAATTAACCTTCAAGCACTACTGGTCACACTAGTACTCAATTTTCTCCATATGCACATATGCAAATAAAATATTACAAATCATATGTATACATAAAATCATAAGTTTTATAATGAACACATTTTATAAATTCAATCATTAGAAACAAATGAACAATATAATAAGTTGAAAAAATATTAAATTATTATTATAAAAGCAATTATTTACACGATCTTACGGGGTTTATTATGTCGTTAAAACCAAGAAGTTATCTAAAAAAATGGCTTAATAAGATATAAACATTTTAGTGCGAATTTACAATTAGTTAATATAAGTAATAATTATTTAATATAAGTAATAATTATTATACGATAAAATAGTTAAAAATATTCATTAATATTATAAAAGCAATTATTTACGCGATTTTAAGGTGTTTGCTATGAACCAAGTAGTTATCTAAAAAAATGGCTTAATAAGATATAAACCTTTTTAGTGCGAATTTATAATTAGTTAATATAATTAATAATTATTATACGGTAAAATAGTTAAAAATATTTAATTACTATTATAAAAGCAATTATTTACACGATTTTAAGATGTTTGCTACGTCATTAAACCAAGTAGTTATCTAAAAAATGTGGCTTATTAAGATATAAACCTTTTAGTGCGAATTTGTAATTAGTTAATATAAGCAATCATTATTATACGATAAAATAAAATAGTTAAGAAATATTATTACACTTAATGCAAAATGTAACGGCTAGTAGTTTCCACAATTAAATAAAAAAAAGTGCCGAAAAATAGCATAAATTTGAATGGTCCACAATTATATATTATATATAGATATAGATATAGATATAGATACCTCAAGAAGCTCCCTCTCACGAACGACCCGTTGTGGCTGAATCATCTCAATGGTAGGACTTGAGTCCTCACCATTCGCAGTGGGCTGGGCAAGAGTAGGCACTTCTGGAACTTCATTGAAGTTAAACAAGCGCCAGTTTATCAGCGGGTCGTGCACAAAAGCCTGAAAAAAAATAAAAAAATAAAAATCCAGCCAACATGAATTTTCTTCACTAGTTGAGGGGTTGAAACCAGCAAATGTGAATTTACTACAATCAACACTGGAAATATGTATTACTTTGATTGATCGGCCTATATTGTATATACTCTGAGTTGTGTCTCAAGAAATGAGTTGCTAAAGGGAAAGGTGTTAACAGTAAGGGTGATGAAGTACTATTTTAGACGTTTATATATATGAAGTTGCATGTCTGCACACATAATGTAGCAGAACATGCACAAGAACAGCACTGCAGAACATGCACAAATCTAACACTGCAGAACATGCACAAATCTAACACTGCAGAACATGCACAAATCTAACACTGCAGAACATGCACAAATCTAACACGCAAATTATATTGTTTGAAAGAAAAATGCACAAATGCATTTTAGAACATTTTGAGATTTGAGAATTTTTAAGATTTTCAGATTCACGAGGAATCCTGTGAAATCTTAAGTCTGAAGGTGGAATTTGAAGTGGGATTGCAAATCTTAAAAAATCAACAAATCCTAGTGTCAAATAAGTTAAATACCTCGGGATTTTGTAAGACTTTTTAAAATCCCAAATGAATATCTCAAGACTTTTAGAAGTCTTAAAAGTCTAAATTAAATACATTCTGAAGTCTTAAAATGTCTTTAGAAATTCCAATGGAATACACACCCTTAAATATCATTAAATCTCATGGTTGAGGTTCATTCAAATTTCTCATTCCCATATGAACATGAAGTTACACACACACACACACATGCATGCACACACACACACACACACACACATATAGATTCAGTACCTCCATCATTGCCATCACGCTGTCTTTATTTGTGCGCAAAACCTGCATGACACTTTCGCAGGTCGAGCGGAAGTTTCCTTCAATACCGCTGACCTCCATTGCTTTAACAAGCATTCTAGTCAGACGGAAAGGGACCTAAACCAACCAATAATGATATTTTAGGAAGAAATTAACATTACATTTTGCTTTTGGTAAAAAAAAAAAAAGTATATCAAAAGGTACGGATTAACAGCTAACCTTCTCAGGGAATTTCTCGCGGTTCATCGAAGCTTCGAAGCAATCTCCAAAATCAATATGCAATATCTTCCCACTGTCAAAGTAACTCATACCGAATAAGTGCAAAATTAATAAAAATAAAAAAATAAAAAATCGCAGATACTGGCATGAATATATACCTGTAACGGTGCAGCATGAGGTTGCTTGGATGCCGATCGCCCAGGCCAAGCAAGTAGCCGACCTTAAAAAAATTGGAGCACTCATGAAAGGTACATTTTCAACACGCTAGGAGTAAATCATTGTCTAATACAACTAAGATTTCAATAAAGTGACAACGAATATATGGGGGCAAAATCATTCTGCTAGGAGTAAACTATGTCTAATACAATTTATAACTAGTACCCATATTCACTAGTACGCATATTCACTGGATTCACTGGATTTTCTTACAAAACTGTTAACTATTAGCAACGAAGCTTGTGAAATAACAAGATCATGCACATATTGAATAGATTAGGAAACTTAACAGCCCGTTTGGTTATGACAAAAAATTTACGAACAAAATTATCTTAAGAAGCCATTACCATACTCATAACAGCCAAGCTTCTTGTGTAGTTGGTCCTCCTGTCTAACCAGATCTCTGAAGTGCGACTCTTTAGCCAGAGCACCTAGCATTTGCAGAAAAAAAAATAAAAAAAATAAGCATGTATCGGAATGGAAGGGTATTATGCAGCGAGTTCTCGATTTTCCGAAAGATCCCTACCCTTGAAAGGTCATTTCCTTCTGTATTTTCCAAGGCGTACTCAAACACCTCGAGTTTTGATATAACAGGCAAGCGATCATAATCAGAAGCAAAACCAATCATTAGCCTATGTTCATGGTTTAAGCTGATCTGCAATAACCAGAAATAGGCACCGTTATAATCAATCAGGAAATGGATAGATCTCGAAGGACTCAAAAACTTTGAGATAAAAGTTGAAGGGGAAAAAGCACCGAGCAGAACCTTTCTGGCATCTCGGTACTCACGAATGAGATGGTGCAATGTATCACAATTTGGGACCCATTCTATGAGGCCACTGTTTGGAGATAGTGGAATGACCTCATATCTTTGGATGGACAGATCCTTCTCGGCAGTTTTTCTAGAATTTGCCAGCAGCGTATTTACTAAACCGAAAAGCTGGTTGAGAAGCAACTTCAGTATGTTAGTTGATAAATAAAAGAAAGGCAATGAAAAAGTAGTTAAGGGTGTGATTGGATAATTCAATAGAACTTTAAAAAAAAAAAAAACAATCAAAACTCAAATTTAACTCAACCTCCCTATCATCACTATAATTAAATAATATTAACCAATCATTCTTACACATCACGTCAACTTTAATTCGCTATTCATCCAATCACATAATTTAACTAACCATCATTACACATCATCTCTCCTACTTTTACATCAAATCAACTTTAATTATTTTATCTTAAAAATTACGTTAGTTTAAACTTAAATTCCCTCTAACAATAACAACTAACCATATCATATTTTTCAAAATTAACTATGGTTAACAATTAAACCAAACCAATCAAATACATCTCCAATCACATCCTAAATAATCGAACAATAATGCTAGTTGATAAAGTTCGGTAATATCACTGGCGTAATATCACTCTCTCAACATTAACTTTGTGAAATAAGTACGCATGATATAGCAATACGAGTAATTCGATCATTATTGGATAAAGCAGATAAGGCACTATGGATTCGTGAACAAAACCTGCATCACACGCTCATCCTGACGTAAATCTTCATGCCCCTTCAACAAGAAAGCATATTCTTCCCCATCACTTCCATGTATTGTCAACTTACGAGGCCGTTGCTTGGAAGTGATGACAGTAAGCTGGGGAGCAAATGATCCGATAGTCACCACATGAGAATCTGAGAGGCAATCACAAAAATCTATTAGCTAATAATGAAACTCTACACGCGCAAGAATATTATATGTACCAAATGAGAATCAAAAGCACCTGGTTTATAAGTTCCAGGGACAGCAAGTTTTAGATCACGGCACAGCAACAATTCTGGAGACATGGACTGTTTCACAAAAGACAAAAAAATATATCTAGTATTTTTTTCAGGCGCAGTAATGATTAAACACAAGAGTGAACTTCTCTTGCCTGCAAATCCAGAGTGGTGAGAGACTGAAGCTGCTTATCCATTCGCTTAAACATATGGTAATAAATATCCCAAGCCTAGAAAGGAAACTTTCATAAGAGAGTGTATATGAATATAAGTGAATAAAATTAATGGAATATGAACAAGAATTCCAAATGCAATATTCAGAATTTATAAACTTGATCTGCAGTCATTTAGAGAATTTATATACTTGATTGGGAAGTGAACAGATTTTATTATGACAAAAGCACTGAAAAAAATATTCTATAACAAAAAACTCATATTCTTAAAAATTGAACATTTTTCTCCGTGCCCATAATACAGTTCATGATATTGATTTAGAAAGGCTGTATTAGTGAGAGCCATGAAGTTATCCTGGTACACTACTTTGCATAGATCTGCTTCTCTTTGGTGATTAGAACGATATTCTTCATTTCAGAGAGTATATATGTTATTTCTCTTCCATTATTATGATATATAAACATTTTATAAATCAAGGATAATATAAAAAGATCAACATGTACAAAATGCAGGTACAGGAGCCAGTATACGAAATTTTCAGAAAATGTGTAAACGAGGGCATATATGTGGTGCAATAAATCCAATTAGGACCAGAAACACGATTATTTGATTCTTCCAAGGATATAACTTATAAATTATGTGACAATTTCATGCAGTCTTCCACATAGACGATAATCTTGGTAATAATATACAGTGATGGGTAATCAATGCAACAAATGTTGAAACATTATACATTGTCATGTAATTTTCACCTGAGTTAATTCCGCATCTTTTCCAGTCCTTCTGTATCTGATGCAGCTTGCGTGAGCATCCAAAAGTTCTCGACGGTATTGCTGAAAATTAGTCAAATTTAAGAGAATCATTTTTTGGCATTTCATTGGAAACAAAAGAAAATGTCGTAAAAGCAAAGCAACCAAATTGATTACAAATCCTTAACCTAACAATTCTTGATCATTTCTTTCAGAATAGACAACATGTAGAAGGATAGATCACCTGAATGAAGGATCTCTCGTTTATGGTGTTATTGTTCCTCATTGCACATTCCTCGAGCATTTGGTGCAATGGCTCTAAAACAGTCATCATTGCCTCAACGTTACGTTCGCCAAAATATAAGCGGCTTGCCTCTTCTAATCCTTCATGCCACATTTCAAGCAAAAGTATAGCAACTCGAACCAACTCCGTAGATACAAGTTGGGCCTGTGCAATTCAAAGCATAGAGGTCAGCTAAAAATGTAAACTTTTTTTTTAATAGAAAAAATATTGTCATCATGTTATATTTTCACCTCGTCCACTAGCACCCCACTGTGCTGCCTAACTTGATCAACCACTTCTTGAGCTGCCTCCTTCCGTAAAGTGCTAATAGATTTGCAGGCCACAAGAAGAGGGTACATAAGAGCCTGCACAGTTCATCATATTAGCGGTGGATATCACAGTACAGTCAAGGTATAACTTAGCACTGTACCAAAACGTCAACCTAAAGAAAAATGAAACAGTATTTATTTGAAACTATTAGATCATCTGAGCAACTTTAATTTAGTACTTTCATACATGATAATGTGCCTCAGATAGCAGGTTCCACTATATATATGTGTGTGTGTGTGTGTGTGTGTGTGTGTAAAATGTAGTAGAACTAATTTACTGCACCCAATCCTACACAAACCAGCATAATAAAATTTACCCAGTTCAGAATAAATCAAACAAGAACAGCTCCAAATGTAATAACTTAATGTTGCATGAACAAGAGCTGACTAAAGAATCTGAGGAGGTATATATACACACACACATACACACACAAAAAAAAAAAGAGAAAAGAGTATATCAAAACTGAAAATAAGGACAAACGGAACTACTAGTTATTATAAAACAAACAAACCTGTGGATGGCTCTGGCCAATTCGTACCAACAGTGCTTGTATCAATTCTCTGACTGCACGGTTATTAGAATGTATCCTGGCAATTATTTGGGGCAAAACAACCAACCATGTGTTTATATTTACTAGTGAAAATCCTCTCTGTAGTGCCACCTGAACTTCTGATGTGGCTCCATGGTTGAACCACAGAGTCAGGAGACGAAGGATATCCTGAATTCCAAGAAAATATTAATGATACCTAACCCAGAAAAAAGAAAAGTAATAAACACGAGATATTAGTAATGCAAAGTACATATGAGTGCAGAGAAAAATCAAACTACTAGCTGAAACTGAGAGCCTATATCCTTTAAAATGGAAAACAACTATCTACTTAAAGGATTACCTGTAAACTATCATCCACTCCTTTAGCATGGGCCCCACAAGCTATAGAATGAAAATATCCAGTGACAGCAGAGACAACAAACTGCCCAGCAACGCTCGGATGACCTCTCAAAGTGTAATGAGACATAACTGCCGTATTGAAAAGTGCCCAATTGTGCCAAGCTTTTGCCCAAGTTGTTGCACAGTGAGTTGCATTACGTAATGCATTGAGAATTTCTAGAATAAAAAAACACCATACCATTAATTAGATGCAGTGGAGCTGATAGAGGACCATCATAGTTATACATTGCAGATGACGTTATAGAGACTTCCAACCACGTCTACAGAAGGGGGGAGAGAGAGAGAGAGAGACAGAGAGAGAGGGAGAGAGAGAGAGGGAGAGAGAGAGAGGGAGAGAGAGAGGGAGAGAGAGAGAGAGAGAGAGAGAGTGAGAGAGAGAGAGAGAGAGAGAGTGCCTTGTATAGAGTCGTCATCCAGGGAAGGGGATAGTGCCCACTGCCAAGTTCCTAACTTTAGATAAACACGAGCAGCGAAAGGCGTACTCGAGGTACCCATTAATCCGGACTGCATGGATTGTTGAAAACCAGGCATTCTTGGGAAGTCAACGGCTAAATCCTAAAACAAGAAATTGCAGATGTAATGAACATAAAACGGAATACACAATAATTAGCAACGAATCGAGAAGTTCAACACTTCAGAAAAATTAAAAGCATACCTTTAGTCTTGCGAAAGCTTCTTTACGTCTATGATCCTCCCCGAGTGACCATTGATATTTCAAATAAGCTAGAATAACTTGAGGGTCCCCAAGATATCGTTCAGTTTCAGGGGTTGATTCTGGATCAAACTGCTCATCACACAAGACTATATTGAGCAGAGACAAGTGATAGCATAATAATATTTTTACCAGCCATAAAAAATTGATATGAATAGCATACCTGTAAGACTTCAGTCAAAGTTGATCTAGCTTGGTTTATTCTGCCACTTTTACGGCAAAGAGAGGCAAACTTTATCCATGTCTCTACATCTTCTGTAGGTGGAAGCACAAGTGACCTGACAGACAAAAGGGCTTGCCAAACCTGGAAATTTCACAATTGCAGATTAAGTAATTGCAGGTAAAAGCATTCGCCTGGGAACGCGGAAAGTGGTAATAAACCAACCTCAGGTCCCATCAACACTAGCAACAATATCTCATAAAACAAACAAAAAAATATATGACTTACTATTTTTTTATTTATTTTTTTTCTATTGAATGCCTCCAAAAGAGAAAAAAAATCAAGTTTGAAGATGCGGTTTTCGTGCATGGGGAATTGAGTTTCATAGAAGAAAGCCGTCATGTGTACTTGAATGGGATACTTTGAAGCAAGAGGAATTATAAATTGGACTTATTTACTATAATAATATATTTCTTCAGTAGTAAAAGTTAGTAGCACATTTGTCACAAACTCACACGCCAGTAAAAACAAGGACAATCTATAATGCGTCCGTTAATTTACTCCTAGCAGGAGGTTAGGTAAGTCTAAGTTTTTGGTCAATTCCATATAAAGGGATTTAATTTATCTTAAAAAATCATGAAGATGAAGCTGAATATCTTCATCTTTCAATATACTAATCCAGCTATGCCGTTCTACTAAATAATCACCACCATGTACAGCCTGCTCAACTTAGATGAACTTAGGTGATCTCCAAGGACCTCCTTTGAAATGCCACATCACACTTTAGGCAGAATATGTTCAGCCTCCAATAAAATATTGAAAAAAATACATTGAACCTTCCCTGGCATATCACTCTTCAGTGAATTTAACATTGGCGTCCACATTTTCACCAAAATGCAGGGCTTATTTGGAAGAA